TGAAACAATTTCATGATTTTCTACAGCTTCATGGGTAGTACTGCTGTGTTAATGAGTCAAAAATTCACTACTACTCTCATTACTGCTAAATTTCACATGCTTATTTCAGTGAACGTCCCTACCTACTGTGAACAATGTAACCCTGAAAAAATCAGCTGCCTGGCCAACTGTGTCCCCATGGCAGCCATTATTAACCCCCTTGCCTGGGTCAACGGACAGTTGTGTGTGTGTGGAGGTAATGCGGCTTGTAACACTATTTGTAATGGGGAGACAATCAAGAACTTTAATGGGTAGACAATCAAGAACTTTGATGAAGTTGAGATGTCAGCTTTTATTGTTGTTGTTTTTCGTTTCGAATGACAATTGGAAATAAATCGAAATGTTCATGAAAAATATGTTTTAAATGTAAAATATTTTTTTACAAGTTCACAATTTTAGAAATACTGGTTTATTGGCCTAAATAACGGGAGGGGCGAGCAACAAAAATGTGCGTTCGAGAGTATTTATTTTAAAAAGTTTAACCATTTTTTATCTAAACGGAAACATCATTTTTAGCCTTAGCTCACAGCAAACGATTCCCTATGAAAACCACCCAAAAGTTGATGAAAATTGTACCAGCACTTCTAGAATCGGAGCATTAATACCTCTTAATACTGGGAACATCTGAAAAACGACACAAGAAACTAAGAACGTGTAGCCCATAACATCAACATCTATAAATAGAATCTCAATGAGGAACGACACAAGAAACTAAGAACGTGTCGCCCATAACATCAACATCTATAAATAGAATCTCAATGAGGAACGACACAAGAAACTAAGAACGTGTCGCCCATAACATCAACATCTATAAATAGAATCTCAATGAGGAACTATGTTAGATGCGGCGGAATAAAGTTGTGGTTGTTGTTTTTGTTTTTTTCACGATCGTTTTTAATATGACATTTTGTAAATGCACCTTCCCGCCCCCAAATACGTTTGCTCATTTGGGAACTACTTTTATTTCCGTGTCCTTGACAGTTTTCTTTCTGATGTCAGGGTCAGGCGTTATCTAATAAATTAACTTACATAGAAGTACTGCTCTTAAATGAAGATATTTAGAAGTAGGTCATTAAATTCTTCCAAGAAGGTCTTATCGTACTCATCGAAAAAAATCAAACATTTGACTGTCATCGGGACCACACACACACACACACACAAACAAACACACACACACACACATACACACGACACACACACACACGACACGGACTAAATAAAACTTGCCCTTGAGAGAATAGAAACAAATATTGATTTTTTTTCTCTATAGACTCCCATGGTATTCAAGTTTACGCATTAAGGAGTAGAAGTGTTTGTGGATGGAGGGGTTTGTGGATGGAGGGATTTGTAGGATGGAGGGATTTGTAGGATGGAGGGATTTGTAGGATGGAGGGGTTTGTGGGTGGAGGGGTTTGTGGATGGAGGGGTTTGTAGGATGGAGGGATTTGTGGATGGAGGGGTTTGTAGGATGGAGGGGTTTGTAGGATGGAGGGGTTTGTTGGATGGAGCGGTTTGTAGGATGGACCCCAAACAACCTACCTCCGGTTTGTAGGATGGAGGGGTTTGTTGGATGGAGGGGTTTGTAGGATGGAGGGGTTTGTAGGATGGAGGGGTTTGTAGGATGGAGGGGTTTGTAGGATGGAGGGGTTTGTTGGATGGAGCGGTTTGTAGGATGGAGGGATTTGTAGGATGGAAGGCTTTGTGGATGGAGGGATTTGTGGATGGAGGGGTTTGAAGGATGAAGGGGTTTGTAGGATGGAGGGGTTTGTAGGATGAAGGGGTTTGTAGGATTGAGGGGTTTGTAGGATAGGATGGTTTGTAGGATTGAGGGGTTTGTGTGATTCATGGGTTTGTGGGATGCAGAAGACTGGGGGATGCATGGGTTTGTGTGAGACAAAGGTTAGTGGGATGGGAGATAGTTTGATGCGGGAGGGGGTTGTGGATTGCAGAGGTCGTGGGATATTGCTCGTTCCCAGCATTCGAAGATGACCAAGTTACGCTGTATTTTGTTGAGTTCAATGACAAGTAAGTCTTAGTTTTGACGACTGAAAAATTGACCAGGGTGCGGTAGACCAGCATATTTCATTTTTCATTGTGTGCGTGTCATACCACATGCGGGACTCCATCTCCGGGTTTCATTTCAAAGTTTGCCACCCAAGACTAACGAGTCCCTTCCACCCAGGGTGCCGGTGTTGTTTTTGCTCGTCTCGTTTTTGCTGGAGATTGAACTCGAGTCCACAAGTTACGGATTAACTCAGTTAAGCCACTCTGCCACCCAGCACCAAGAGGGATAAAGGGGTGTGGGATGGAGGGGTTTTAAAGCGTTTAAGGTTTCCACAAGGCCAGCGGCGCAGTGGGAGATTCTGTATAAGCTCTCTATAAGGAACAAGGAGCGTCATGTCATGGCAATGACATATAAGGATAATGTTATTGCTGCTCAAGATTGCCCCATCAAATAATCATAAATTAAAGCTAGCAGCATAAAAAATGTAGTATTATTAAACAAAGAGTCATAAGCAAAAGGTGAATAATAAATTTTAAAAAAATAAATAAATAATAAAACAGGAGCGCTATCTTAAAACAGACGCGTCAATGTGATGGCCTTTGAAAACATTAATTTAAACAATAAATATAGTAATGTAAAAAAAGAAAATCAGAAAAAAATTATTTTTTTTCCTTTATTGTTGTATTCCTTTTAGGACAGATTCCCCGAGTCTGTGTTAACTGCGGTCTCACCGATGGCGTCTACTTCCTTCAGTCTGTGTGAATCAGTAAAACCCTTTGTGACTTTGTGTCCGTTTTACACTTCTTCTCACGGCATCACACATATACACACACATAGAGAGAGAGAGGATGGATGGAGAGAGAGAGAGAGAGAGAGAGAGGGGGAGGGAACGAGAGACAGAGAGGGATGAGGGATGGAGAGAGAGAGGGAGAGAGAGATAGGGGGTTAGGGATGGAGAGAGAGAGAGGGGAAGATGGGAGAGAGAGGGGGAGAGAGTGGGTGGGAGGAAGAGATAGAAAGAAATGCAAAAAGCCATGAAATAATCGAGCCATATCAGTCAACAAAGCAACATAAAACTTGTTACCATGGAAACTGATGAAATCAAATTCCCTGCAAAAATGGATATAAATATTTCAAACATAAAAACGTAGAGTAGGATAAGGTTGCTGTTGTTGTTTTAATAGTTCATTTGCTAAATGTTTCGAAAACATCGCTAAATCTACTATGCTCCAACAGCAACTACCGAGCTAACTCTACCATTCCTTAACAGCAGCTACTCACCTTAAATCTACCATGCCCCAATAGCAACTACCAAGCAAAATCTACCATGCCTCAGCAGAAACTACCCACCTAAATCTACCATGGCCCAAAAGCAACTACCCAGCTAAATCTACCATGCCCTAACAGAAACTCCCCACCTAAATCTACCATGTCCCAACAGAAACTACCCACCTAAATCTACCATGTCTCAGCTGAAACTACCCACCTAAATCTACCATGCCCTAACAGCAACTACCCACCTAAATCTACCAAGCCCCAACAGCAACTACCCAACTAAATCTACCACCCCCTAACAGCAACTACCCAACTAAATCTACCACCCCCTAACAGCAACTACCCAACTAAATCTACCATGCCCTTACAGAAACTACCCAGCTAAATCTACCACGCCCCAACAGCAGCCACCCAGCTAAATCTACCATGCCCCGACAGCAACCACCCAGCTAAATCTACCACGCCCCAACAGCAACCACCCCAAGCCGATCTCTTTGATACGTTCCTCATCACCCACATCCTGCGTCACAATATCGACTTGTCATCGCAATGATTTTCGAATATTTTTTTTTTCATTATTGGTTACCATCAGAAAGATAAATAACGACTGCTGTGGATGAATAGAGTCTTGACGTCTCGGCCTGGTCTTGCTCTCAACACCCCCCTGTGTCAGCAGTAAGCCACCATCTTTCATAAACATATCGTCCATACATTGCCATTTTAATTGCCCTTCAGAAGGGAACAAATCACCTGTACAAAGACAACCCCAGTGTCGAGTGAGTAATTCCACCGCCTTTATAGTAGAGACATATGAACATATTGATTCTCTCTCCATGCCATTAGCTCCTTTGTTCATGGCAAAGTAAATGTGAGAAATTGAAATTATTCGTGTCGTATATCGACTCTAAAATAAAGCAGAGGTCCCCAAGACACCGCGTGGTGCTTCAATGAGTTGCGATAGACAGAGAAATAGCGTAGGTTTTATTATCTAGCACTGGGGTCCAATCAATATGGCTGTTCAGCGTTAAAAAGTTGGGAACCTGTGTCATTTACAAAAATAATTAATTATTGGCATCATTTTAAGTTAACTATTTGTTTGTTTGGTGCGAAGGCAATGAATGGAAGGTCAGGTGACGTTGTTACACTAATGTTCCGTGACATCGACCTCAAACAGTCTTGTGATTCTCAAAATAATTGTCATGGCCTCAATCCCCTTTTTCATATGATTTATTGGTAGACTTTTAATTCATTATAAACATTAATACAAACATTCATTATTCAAATTACATATGGATTTATTGTGTCGGCGATATCTCTTGATGAGATTGCAGGCCAGAACAATTTTTTTTTTTTTAAATTTGTTTTCGAGAAAAACAACATTTGAGAAACTTTCTACCGTATCGAGTTTGTGTGAAATTGAAGTAGGGCGTTCCATTTCCTTTGTCCCAAATAATTACCTGTAAACAAGATCGCCATGTCCCAAGCGGAGGTGAACTGTGCCGGGCAACTGTAACCCTGAACTCAAACCCTGCCACCGACATGAGGCGTTTAAAGTAAGCGCGTCGCCACAAGCCAGTTGTCTCTTAGCGTGTGCTCGTGAACACGTCTAGTGTTTGGAAAGTAATGAGACTTCTTGATTTCCGCAACATTGGCGTTTTGGTGTGGTTGTTTTTTTTTTTTTAATTAGTCAACATGCAACACGAGTAAAGAGTTGTTGAATTGAATCCTACGATGAAGATGTGTCGTGTTTGCGTAGCTAACGTGGTTGGAATATTTAAACCCAAAGTGAGGGAGTCAAAACGTGGACATGTGAACAACCTTAAACATGGAGATCTGTTAAACATTGTTAGCAACTATTCCTATAATTAAAGTTAGATTTCTTCTATTTTTTTTTCAATCACAAGTTATGACTTTTATACTATTTAATTGTTTCCCCAAAGTTTTCGAGATCCTTATGGTTGACTAAGAGAAAGTAACAATAAAGATGTTAAAGCTTAAAATGAAAAAAAAATCCTGTTATAGTGTTAACGCAACCCATACAAGTATGGGTCAAACCGATTAGCACTGAAACGCCCGCATCTTGAACACGTACTACGAAAGTTTGTCAGCGGTGTATAGCTCCAGCTACCGGGTGTTCCCGCTAATGAAAAAGGAAGATATATTGTGCGGTAGTTGTTGGAAATAGGTCTCTGAAGGTGGTACACTCATAATAATAATATTTTCACTCATAATTTCTTAATAATGTTTAAGAAGAGAATAAACTTGAGACAGAACGACATTGCCCTATAATTAAGGCTCTAAATCAATACCTCTATCTTTCTAGGTCTCTATCTGTCTAATTCTTTATCTATCTCGTTCTCTATCCTTTTTTTCTGCATAATAACCCAAACACCAAGTTGTCTGTAAATGGAACATCTTTCCTGTAAGTATATTCCAGTAAGTATATTCCAGTAAGTATATACCAGTAAGTATATTCTATCCCGTCTAATTAATCATCCTTACAGATATTTCAAGGCGTCTGTAGTTCGGTACCTGAGAGGCCATCACAAGAATGATGAAGATTTGTGTGCAAGTCTTATTTTTATTGATTGTCTTGGAAGGCATCAGTAAGTAGGAACTTTGCTTTTTTTTAAAATATAATTTGAGGGTGGGATATCTAGCCATATAATTGAGCGGTGAGATATCTAGCCATATGATTGAAGAGTGGGATATCTTGACATGTGATTGAAGACTGTTGTATCTAGCCACGTGATTAAAGAGGGACAAAAATAGATGTCCATATATTTGAATCATTAAGTACATATTTTCTTATCGCATTTTATCTTTTTTCTGCAACAAATATAACTTAAAACTAGTGTATTGGGCACTTATGAAGAGTTAGTACCTCTGATTGGGCAGCAGTCGCACCCCTTTAGGGTAGCTAATCAATCTGTGTTCCTGTTCTCAGCTGATCTCAGCTGTCTCTCCAAGAAGGTGTAGCATGCGCAGAGGAAACACGACGGACAACGGCTTCGACTAGCCGGAAAAAACAGGTTGAGAGTAGTGAAGGGATGAAATCGAATATTCGGTAAAAAGGGCTTGTCCCCCACAGCATGTAAACAGAGGATCCCGTGAAATGCGCGGAGGAACCAATATTTGGTCAACGAGCAAAAAGCGGACACAGCAAGGTGATTTGAATCTTGTAGAGCGTGGAACAACACGTAAAATGCCATGTCATCCCCTGCACCCAATCCCGAGCCCCGCAGTTTCGATATCGTCCTGCTGCTGGGCCCAAGGGGTACTTGGCGAGAAAGTGAGCCTGACGACTGATGCGATTCTTCTTCGTACAAGTCACGGCGCGTGTCGCTTTAGTCATCATTCATTCCATCAAAGTCTTCATTAAAATTCCTGTGGCGATGGGCAAGCGCCGGGGTCGTTCATCGCTGACAGGAAGCATGAAGTGGTGTCCGGCAGACCCCAGAGTCACTGAGAAGCCCTCTTTAGGAATACACTGCTCGCCTCCATTAAATGAGAAAAGGGTTAGAAAAGCTACCCTAAACATTGTCTGCTCCACTCTTCCTTTTCAAGCCTAATACAGTTCGGGGTTGGACCCTGTCTATGCGGTCAAAAATCCAAGCAAAAGATTTGTTAAAAAAATCCCTCTAAAATCACTTCTTGGAATGTGAGCACGCTTCAGGGTTAGGAAGAGGCGGACTGAAAGCAGAACAGCCCCTATATGAAATGATCTGGCCAGGTGGACATTGTAGGGCTATGCGGATAGACGTGACCTGAAAATTGTTTACTCCACTCTTGAAGTGGTTTACGGCCCCCACTTGATCAGGATCATCCCCACTTCTGAGTGCTGGGGAGAAATGTCTAATCACTGAGAAGAAACAATTAGTAGTGGACGCGGAGCCTTAATTTTTTTTTTACAAAGTTCTAATTTGACCTTCAATTTGACCTTCAATTTGACCTTCAATCTTCAATGTTGAAGACATATATCATCTCACCCAGGTGTAACTCAAACACTAAATGGAAGACACCTTTATTCTAACCGAGACTCATCAAGCTATATGTCTCCTTTCGAATGGCAAAAGCTCAGCCCCAGGTGATGACTAGATCCCATCTGAAATATACAAAAAAGGGGACACAACTCTGGTTGAAATGTTAAACCCGCTGTTCCTACTTATGTGGCAGCAAGAGAAGACTCCACAGGATTTCAAGGATGCATCTACTGTTCACCTGTACAGGCTTTAAGGGAACCGCCAACTTTGCGACAGCCTCCATTTATGTAAACCTGACAAAGGCTTTCGGCGGTGTTAGTAGAGAAGGTCTTTGGAGGATCATGGCCGAATAGGGTTGCCCCCAGAAAGGTCATTTCAGTGGTACTGTAATGCCATGATGGTTTGCAAGCTAGGGTTCTGGAAAATTTGGGAGGGATCTAAACCTTTACCCTGTGACAAGTGGCGTCAAACAAAGGCGTGTCCTGGTCCCAACATATTTCATTCTAATGTTTTAAGCCATCCTGACTCATGCCTTCCGAGAGAGAGAGAGAGAGAGAGAGAAAGAGAGAGAGAGACAGAGACAGAGAGATAGAGACGAAGATTGTGCCCTAAAGGCTGGATCAGAAACGGATATTCAACGCGGTGTTTCTAATTTCAGTAATGCCTGCTCAAACTTCTGTCTCACCATTAACACAAAAAAAAGACCGACGCCCTGTACCAGTCAGCTCCTCGGAGTCCTTGTGTTGAGCCCAAATACTCCATGCAACATGAAGCAAGCGAACAGCCGCTGTAGAGCACAGAAGTCATGCGAGACGATCCCGAGTTAACTCTGCGCCTGGAATGTCCCATCCATCCCCTGCAGTTATTGCACCGGGAACATTCCATGGCCAAAATTGGTCTCATCGGTCATCTGCGCATACAAAGCCAAGTTCGCAATCAGCACAAACGATGCTTAAGTTGTTCGTGCTCGATGTCCATTATATAATATCAAGTACATAAAGTGCATGCAGTTGATTGATGCCGTACATTGATGTACTGCCTAAATTGTCTGTCCGCCTGTCTACAGACCCAACACTTACGGGTGTGTTTTGTAGCTGCAACTTGCACCTCAAAGCTCTCTACGCTCGTTCCCGAAATATTTTTTATTGATTTTTATTTCAAGTCACGGTTGATTCGCGACTGCGAAAGTCAATTTCTTTTCAACTAAGTTTCTTTTTCTATGTCACTTCTTGTGTCCCACTCATTTAAATAAAGTTCAGTCGCTATTTTTTTTTTTTTTTTTTTTTTTTTTTTTTTTTTTTTTTTTTTTTTTTTTATGGTTTTTTTTTTTTTTTTTTTTTTTTTTGCTGTTTTGCTTTGTTCTATATTTCAAGGGTTCTCATATCTTGATATTAATATTATCCACCAAATTAGTCATAAGAAAAATCAATTGATCATTAAAATAATTGTTTACATGCTCCATAATTGCATAAATCATCTCGATTTCCTTTTGAACGACAACGTTGAAACATGGGGCTACTACATGGGCCCTTTTATGTATCCTTTCAACACCATGCATGGAGTTGATCTCCTAATAGTAACTAGGCACAATTTCACAAATGTATAGCGCTGAAAACCTAACCTAAGCCATGTCCATTAATTCCATTCACACAGGTCAAGCCGAGGGAGCTTCTATATCTAATTTCCACAAGTTAAATGTTTCGGGACAAATCTATTTGGTTCCTAGCGACAAACAGAATTATAAATCGGCCATTAACTCCTGCGCAGAGATTCAGTCTAAATTGGCAACATTCTCTACTTCAAGTGAATATGACGTTGTGTGCAAGCGAATTAGGGAAATGTCAAAGAAGTATAGGTTCTATAAGAAAAACAAATTTTGGATCAATTTTCTTGAGAAAAGAATAAATAAAAAACCGTCTTCAAAATTCAACAATCAATATTGCACACGGATAAGCTCTTCGGGGTTAAGCGACAGAGATTGCTCAAATTCGTATTCATTCCTGTGTCAGTGTGAATTGAACTGTACCGAGCTATACACCCAGACAACGGATGACATCACCGAAGACAACTCTTCATGCCCACCAGGTTTAGTGCCCGCATCTGATGTCGACAGTACGTGTGTGGATGAGGACGAGTGCCAAGATGACCCCTGCGACCAAAACTGCACTAACACGTTTGGCTCTTACGTCTGCGGGTGTCCCGGCGGCTTCAGGTTAAATGCCGGTGACAACAGCACCTGTGATGACGTGGACGAATGCCTTGAGAACGCCACGCTATGCGAACATGACTGTTCTAACGTCCCGGGCTCTTACCTCTGCTACTGTCCTCTCGGTTACAAGCTTGCCGAAGACGGCTGGTCCTGTCGAAAGTCACCGAGGTTTAAGAGCTGCGCCTGCTACTGCTCCAGAGGGAATACATATAATTTTTCTGAACGGTTAGCGATGGCGAAGACGAGTCTGGACGCAGAGAATAAAACGGAGGCGATACGCTACAAGAAGAGCTTGTCGTCGTTTCGTCGAGCTGTGACATGCGCAAAGGATGAGAGGAAGGAGGCCTCGGCTGTTGGAAGTCTGGGAATTGTTTTGATGGTTTTGTGTGGGTGCGCCATTATCGGACCGGATGTTGCCAGCGCCATATTTTTCCTGGTAAAGAAATTTGCCAAAAGTGAATAATGGCAATGTTATTATTTTTTTTAAAGCAACAAAGGTCCAAATATCGTAATCGTTAAAAATTCAGAAATAAACTTTATTAAAAGTTTTACGTTACTCTCAACTGTAAGATTGTAAATTATATCTGTAAAACAAATTTTATGTCTATAATGCCACTTTCATCAAAAGGTTGAATCCAACAAAACCACGAAGGTTTCAGCATTGCAAAAGTGAAACTAAGATTATTATATCATTATAATTATTATTTTAAATGGTGGCTTATTTTTAGGGTAGAAAAAACACTTTAGATGTGTTGTGTTTAAATTGTTGTAATTTTTTTTTTTAATTGTCTCGGCTAAAACATGTAGCTGTTTATGTGCTGAAGATGAATATGCACAATGTGATTGTAAAAAAACACAATTACTTTGATCCAAAGGAAAATAAAAACATCTTATCTTGAAAGTAAATTTGATTGGATATAAATAGAAAAATTGCGAAAAACGTATGGTCAGTTGAAAACTAAAGTTGTTTGATACTATATCATGCCTGGCTACCAAGTCCAGTAGTTTTCTTATGTTAAAATCTATATTTAATTTTGTGCCAAATTGAATATGTCCAATGTAATAAAAAAAATTCCAGTTATTTGGATCAATAAAGAATCGTATCTTATCTTAAAGCATTGGATCTGTGTCCTTATCTGATATTTCATCATAAACTATTTAATCAATTATTTCCACAGTTCTGGGTAAATCATCATTGCCAAGTCATAAGAGGAGGTGAAAATGAGGTAGACCTCGTTTATTTAACTCAGTGACGAAGAAATGTTTTCTTTTGTGTGCATTTGGTGCTCAAGTAATCAACCGAACGGCAGGCAAGGAGAGAATGAGAGCAATGAGTTCGTGGCGAACAAAAAAGATCCGCTCGGGAATTATTATTATAGATTATTAATACGTTTTTTCTTGACTGCAATAGTGTAGTATGACATGAATTTAAGACTGTGGTCTGTGTAACAACTGACTTTATTCTCAATTCTACATACTTTGTATACCTCACAGCGCATGCCCACTCACTGCCGTGCTCCAACCAACCTTCAAGTTTAGACAACTCCCCAAGCACAGTCAGACAACATGACGACAACACAGGACAAACAGGTCACTAAGTACAGTCAATTTCACACTGACAACAAAAATCTTCAGTCAAACAGTCACTTATACAGTCACAAAGGCGTTTAAAATTCAAAGCTCTCGAGAATAATATTTATCGAACATAAAAGCTGCAGGTTGTGGAACAAGGGTGAAGAAGAAGAGGTACTTATCTCGTATCAACAAAAGGAAAGGGTGACAATTTGTTTGTTGGTTTAAAGACGTATTAGAACTATAAAAGAATTTTTTTTATTTTTCCTTTATGGCCGCAAACATTGATCGTCCTGCCTCAGAAGAAAATACTCCAAGGCCCGGCTCTAAGAGAAACAATGATTGTATCACAGGCCGGAACAATTAGAGCTCAAATACTAATTACTGTCTGTACGAGTATTTGAGAACTTTAGGATATCAGAATTAAGAGGAAAACAATGATGCTTTTGAAGCGTGACTTTAGGTATCTATAGATATAATTCGCCTGCAAAGGTCAAACAAGACGGGTCAAACACCACGCAGGCTATTTATAGATACGCCAGAGTGTGATTCAATAATGAGTTCACTAGCGCGCAAAATATAATTCCCGATAACTACGCTAAATGATATATAATTTTTTTAAATAACGCAATTGCGTTTGGTGCGTAATATTTTCTTTCGGAAATGCAATCGTCTCAATTTAAGTATTGTGTAAAAAATATTCGGTTTAAAAGTGGATATTAACATAGTTCATGTGCGTGAAATAAAAAGTGTGCTGTGACGTATCATGAGGGAAGGGGTGTAGCAAATATTGGGATTCTTAAATGTGAGTTACTTGTGTTCATGTTTTGTCAAGTAATTTTAGTGTATGATTGGAAGTTCACGCATTGCTGCCGCCGATGTTTGTCGGGCTAGGCCATATCACAGGTGTATCCTCAAACCCACCCCATTTGGACAACTGTGTCTTTCACGAAGTCTTCACTCATCTATGAGCAATTCTGCGGCGAATGCTATGCCGCGGGCCGACTAGTATTTATATATTCTCTTTTGTGTTGCTTTCTTTAAACTTGTATACTCATAGGCAGGAGAAATTTAACACTCGGGAGAATGCAAATCCATTAACTAAGGCAACACACAAACACAATATATAAATCTACGTGGGACTATGTTTGTAAATTGGTCGAGCTATCATAACGTAGGACTATGTTCGTAAATTGGTCGAGCTATCATAACGTAGGACTATGTTTGTAAATTGGTCGAGCTATCATAACGTAGGACTATGTTTGTAAATTGGTCGAGCTATCATAACGTAGGACTATGTTTGTAAATTGGTCGAGCTATCATAACGTAGGACTATGTTTTTAAATTGGTCGAGCTATCATAACGTAGGACTATGTTTGTAAATTGGTCGAGTTATCATAACGTAGGACTATGTTTGTAAATTGGTCGAGCTATCATAACGTAGGACTATGTTTGTAAATTGGTCGAGTTATCATAACGTGGGACTATGTTTGTAAATTGGTCGAGCTATCATAACGTAGGACTATGTTTGTAAATTGGTCGAGCTATCATAACGTGGGACTATGTTTGTAAATTGGTCGCGCTATCATAACGTGGGACTATGTTTGTAAATTTGTCGCACTATCATAACGAGGGACTATGTTTGTAAATTGGTCAAGCTATCTTAATGTAGGACTATGTTTGTAAATTAGTCAAGCTATCATAATGTGGGACTATGTTTGTAAATTGGTCAAGCTATCTTAATGTAGGACTATGTTTGTAAATTGGTCGAGCTATCATAACGTGGGACTATGTTTGTAAACTGGTTGAGCTATCATAACGTAGGACTATGTTTGTAAATTGTTCAAGCTATCATAACGTAGTACCATGTTTGTAAATTGGTCGAGCTATCATAACGTGGGACTATGTTTGTAAATTGGTCAAGCTATCTTAATGTAGGACTATGTTTGTAAATTGGTCGAGCTATCATAACGTGGGACTATGTTTGTAAACTGGTTGAGCTATCATAACGTAGGACTATGTTTGTAAATTGGTCGAGCTATCATAACGTGGGACTATGTTTGTAAATTGGTCAAGCTATCATAACGTAGTACCATGTTTGTAAATTGGTCGAGCTATGATAACGAGGGACTATGTTTGTAAATTGAAAACAGAGTGTTACAAATGTTAAAACTTTTATCAATTTGAGTTTCTTGTCAAACACGATTGAGAAAACAATTAATTCTAATTGTGTGTGTGTGTGTGTGGGGGGGGGGGTTTACATGGTCAAACAGCACGAGACTTTGAAATAGTTAAAGTCATTCTGAAAGTCTCAGTGAACTTAAGTCCAGTTATAGAAAATTGACATCTGTTATATCTATATAAGTCGGCTGCAATAAGTAGTAACTGTCGGCTCATTGATTAAATCCAAACAATCTGTTCATCTCCAACTATCGTTAACATGAAGCTTCTGCTGGTTGTATTGGTCATTGTGATGGCTCTTGTGGCGACTGAAGGTAGGTCTTAATTTCTTCATGTATTTGATGAAAAATAAGTTCACTATTTAACTTAAAGTTTAAACTTATTCCGTACTTTTCAACTAATGACTTGATCACAGAGTACATTTAGTACGAAATTTTAATGTGTCTAAATTTCCTCTAGTATTATCTGTATAAAAATGTAATTAGCCATGAAACGAATTAGTTCAGCACATTAAAGAAAAGTAAAATGACTCACAGCTAAAACATGAAGCAACATTAGAAGAAGACTTTTTGTCTGTCATTGAAAACGCATTAAATAACAGAAACTCCTTTTATGTCCTGCTCATATTTTATATAACCATGTTTCCCCAAAGAGCCATAATAAGTTAACAAACCTCTAGCAATGTATATTTGACATTCATATTTCATAATCTTCTTTTCAGTCCCCCATTCCATTAGAGTGTAGTTAAATATTAAGTTTATAGCTTTAGGCGTTGAGATAGTTAGAATTTTCATTTAACACCAACATATTTTCGGATATCTGGCGCCCTATCATTAAATTTGAACCACCACTTTTATTTCAGGGGTTCAAACAAGAAATAAATAAAAGTGTATATAAATATATACACTGTATACAAGTATAGTTGCCCCCCCCCCCCCTCCCCATTTCAGGGGTTCAAACAAGAAATAAATAAAAGTGTATATAAATATATACACTGTATACAAGTATAGTTGCCCCCCCCCCCGTCCCCAGAATGGGGTACTCAATCTCTTTTAAAACTGTTGTACTTAAATAATTAGCTATTTTTTCATGTACTCTCCCCTTCCACAAAAAACGCCTGTTTCACAATTCAGACTGACAATTACAGCTATATATATTTTTTAATATCCCATCTCTTTGTAGCAGCTAAAATGACGTAATGCCAATGCAGTTAAAATTGAGAATCATTGCTCTAAACATTAAATTGTATAACATGACCTATGACCCCCCAAAAAAATGTTTTATCATGTTTTGAAAACTGATACAATCCAAAGTTTCGTGTGGGGAAGGTAAACAGTAATCTCCCTTCGATTGCTACATAGTAGCGAATGGATAGCTGATGATAACACATTTAAAAATCTTGTTACACCTTATTACATAGATGATGAAGAGCTTTATATGTATTTTGAATTATTATGGCTGGATGGAATCTAGTCAACACATCTGTCAACATGGACACACCAAATAGTGAACTATTTCCACATCTCCAAATTATCTGAAATGGAAGTTTGGGAGTTCGACCGACAATATCAAGAACACAGTACCATGGCAATTGTTTGAATGTCTTTCAGATGATCAAAAAAATGTATAAACACAAGGAAGGGTTCAGCAGCGTGTAAACGTGCCCCTTAACTCACACAAATAAAAAAAAACAACAAATAAATTAAAGATGGAAACTGATTTCAACGTTCTCTAGTAGACATTTTTTAAAATTTTAACTCCTTCCCCCAGCCTTCTAAAAAAAACAATCTATATATAAATAATATAGATATTTGTTTTGTTAATCTGTCTATGCGGACATAAAGAGTTGATAAAGTTATTGATAAAATCAAATCCTCGTACTCCATTTGTGAGATTTGACCTATCTGATATCATTTTTTTTAAATTCCAAATAATGAAGCTGTGAAGGTGATATTGGACAAATTAAATAAACTTCTGTTGACGCAGTATGCGGTGTTCGTTCATAAATGAACATAAGTGACCCAGAATCCCATATTATATGAGTAATGTGGACAGCGGGTCCTTCACATGGGATACAGAAAGTTCGATTAAGATGACTCGTGAAGTCTTGGAAATGGAAAATAAATGACATTTTTAAACGCTTCAAGTAAATAATACACTCTGTGGGGGCTCGTCGGAGTCTTCGCGTGTTATTCGGGGTGTCATGATGAGAACATATTAGACTAGCAGGTGTAAAAAAAAAAAACGGATAATTAAAGTACAAAAACTATTTTACTGAAACTGTGATTCTCTGAACCAAATAGAAAGTGTGTTTTTGTGTAATGGATGGCAGACCAGATTCATCCTGTCTTTCAACACGGCAGAATGCCTTCTTCGTTTCATTGCAGCTAAGACATAAAAGATAGGAAATATATCTTACAAAATAAGAAACGAATTTTGTGACAACTAACTTATCTCATTGGCCCCGGGAGCTTGACGCGATGACCGGTCTGAAACACAAGAAAATGGATTTGTATTGGTCGGTTTAAATGTCCAAGATTTGTTTGGATCAGTTTAAGGGTCCAAGGTTTGTTTGGGTCAGTGTCAGTGTCCAAGATTTGTATTTGTCGGTTTCAATGTCCAAGATTTGTTTGGATCAGTTTAAGGGTCCAAGGTTTGTTTGGGTCAGTTTCAGTGTCCAAGATTTGTATTTGTTGGTTTCAATGTCCAAGATTTGTTTGGATCAGTTTAAGGGTCCAAGGTTTGTTTGGGTCAGTTTCAGTGTCCAAGATTTGTATTGGTCGGTTTCAATGTCCAAGATTTGTTTGGATCAGTTTAAGGGTCCAAGGTTTGTTTGGGTCAGTTTCAGTGTACAAGATTTGTATTGGTCGGGTTCAATGTACAAGCAAGTTATTATTAGATGAGGCCAAATCATTGTTATACTAAATATGTACATTCTCTTTTTGGGGCCCAACTGACGCTCTTTTGTGGTACGCACATTAAATGCAGGCGTGCCGCAATCTGCTGGGCGTCCTCACACATTACAGGTGTGCCGCATCTGCTGGGCATCTCCATGAATTAGACTTTCCACGTGGATTTCTGTAGTGTTCCCAACCCCACCACTCATTAGTGTCAATATATATAACTCCATGTAGGTCTGTCTCTAAACTCCTGTAAACAAGCCATATACTTCTTAACAAGTCCATCCATACAAAAAATCCACAAGCCGGCTGAGATGCCACACCGAGAACCCGTCACAGACAGAAATGGTGCATGTGACTGTGGTGGTCAGTGTATTAAACTGATAATCGTGTCAAACTGGTCCCTGTGTCGAATAACTGACCAGTCTCTTAATTCCCGCCTCTTGGTCTGACGTCCTTGTGAGCAGTTGGCACACCGCATGACTCCGATAAGTTGCAATGGTAATTATGATCCTATGTTTAATGCAGTGACGGTACATTAATATTATAGAACCGTTAACAGATTGAGTCGTTATTCTCCCTAATTATCCAAAATGATCTTTGACCTTATTTTGTGATCAGTGTTTCTCAAAGTAAATTTTTAGCATCCAGTGGTTAGCGTCGTGGAGAAGGATAAAAAACAAAAGGGGTTAAGCAATGCATTACAAAACAGAGAATGTCTTTGTTGAACATGGACATTATTTAGCTGTTATTTTACACTGCAAAGGATTATTGAGACCATCTTCAATGCAGTTGTAGATGCAATTGTATTTCATTATCGTTAAAGACTTCCTTATCTTTTAATCTGCTGGAAGGACTCGTGAGCCAGTTAAATATAAATTGTAATGCTTTCATAGTTAACAAACGAGACCAGACACTATCTTCCCGTGTGGAGAGACGAGAGAGACACGCTGCGGTCAAGTTCTTCACAATGAAAGTCATTCTGTTTGCATGTGTCCTGGTACTAGCCTGCGTCATCGCCTGTGAAGGTTTGTTGACTGGATACCTCATGTTTGTTTGTTTCATTTCATTATACAAATGCACACCTCTCGTGTGTGCAACTGTACCCTTTGTCCCATTCGTGATCAATGCCCCGACTGCACATCTTAACAGTACACTACTGCACACCTTACTACTAGTTTACTAGCTCAGCTGCTCACCTCTTTGTTTACCATCTCTAGGTATCAGCTTCATTTGGTGCTTCTCCTGCGCGACTGACGACATACTTTGTAATGCCAACTGTATCGGATTACCCAATAATGCATTCTTGAAGAAAGCAATCTGCCCCTGCACGTTCTTTGACCCTCAGTGCCTGAAAGACTGCACCCTGTGGGAATAACGCAGACACCATTGCTGAGGTAATATGAAATTATCTGCTACGAGTGTGGGCAATTTACGGCCCGCATAATCACACATGCAAACATATAATGCGACCCGAGAAAATTTAATAGAAGCAATAAAGTTGGCATTTAGCTAGCAGTGTTTCAGTTTAGCAATAATGGATCAAGATGGCGGTTGACAATTTGGTTATTCATGTACAAGGTTTATAGAACGCTGCAAGCTTTTTTGAATGATTTATTTTGTTCCCATCCAATCCTGCTCTCATTGCATATGTATACAGTGTCTATAATTCCATTGTCTATGTTTGATGTGTCTATGTTTGATGTGTCTATGTTTGATGTGTCTATGTTTGATGTGTCTATGTTTCCAGTGTCTATATTTCCAGTGACTATGTTTCCGGTGTCTATGTTTCCAGTGTCTATGTTTCCAGTGTCTATGTTTCCAGTGTCTATGTTTCCAGTGTCCATGTTTCCATTGTCTATGTTTCCAGTGTCTATGTTTCCAGTGTCTATGTTTACAGTGTCTATGTTTCCAGTGTCTATGTTTCCAGTGTCTATGTTTACAGTGTCTATGTTTCCAGTGTCTATGTTTCCAGTGTCTATGTTTCCAGTGTCTATGTTTACAGTGTCTATGTTTACAGTATCTATCTTTGTCCACGTTTATAGCGTCTGTTTCTTGTGTCTTTTGTTTCCAGTGTGTTTGTTCCCATTACCTATGTTTACACTATCTATGTTGCCCCTGTCCATGTGTCTCCTCTGTCTGTGCATTTTGTGGAAAACGCCAAGAGTTACGTGGAGATAAAAAAAACCAAGAGCTCTCATGGCGAGACTAACATAACATATAGAGTAGCGTTTAGTCTGGTGTTGGTTAACGATTTTTAGGATTTCTAGATTACAAATAAACAAATTGTATGTGGGTAAAGAATATATCACTTAAACGCTAAATGAGATGGGTAATAACCATAATTAACTAAATATTTGGTTTCTTATTTTCTTATAACAATTTTTTTTTTCAGAATGATGACAGAAATTCTGTGTGCTTCTTAGTGACGACAAAATTGTCGCTTGTTGTCTATTAAAAAATAATAAAAGTCACTGACCTTTGGTCTACATCTTGTGTACAGGTATTGTTAGAAACGTGTGTGTAATTAATTATAGAGCAACATTTTGTGTTGACGTGTATGATGTTTGGTCATACGACATAATATCATGCCATAGCTATCATATCATGACAAATATATCATATCAAATCTACTATATCACAACTATCCTATCACATGTATCCTATCACAGTTATCATATCACAATCATATCACATACGTCATATCACTGCTATGTCAGTATAGTTGCCATACGCTCATATTGCATATATCAGATCACTGCTATGTAAGTATAATTGACATTTGCTCATATCACATATATCATATCACTGCTATGTAAGTATAGTTGCCATACGCTCATATCACATATATCATATCACTGCTATGTAAGTATAGTTGCCATATGCTCATATCACATATATCATATCACTGCTATGTAAGTATAGTTGCCATATGCTCATATCGCATACATCATATCACTGCTATGTAAGTATAGTTGCCATACGCTCATATCGCATACATCATATCACTGCTATGTAAGTATAGTTGCCATACACTCATATCGCATACATCATATCACTGCTATGTAAGTATAGTTGCCATATGCTCATATCGCATACATCATATCACTGCTATGTAAGTATAGTTGCCATACGCTCATATCGCATACATCATATCACTGCTATGTAAGTATAGTTGTCATATGCTCATATCGCATACATCATATCACTGTTATGTAAGTCTAGTTGCCATACACTCATATCACATACATCATATTACTGCTATGTAGTATAGTTGACATATGCTCATATCGCATACATCATATCACTGCTATGTAAGTATAGCTGCCATACACTCATATCGCATATATCATATCACTGCTATGTAAGTATAGTTGCCATACGCTCATATTGCGTATTTATAAATCATTGTCATTAACATAAAGGTACGAAATAAATTACGTTGACAAGTACAGAATGAAGAGCCTCCGTGTACATCTATGATAAGCTTCTCTGAAACTCTGCACAGTTTGAGAACTTTAGTACGGCTTCATGTAAGCTAATCTATGATTCTAGCGATGGGTCGAAGGTCACTTCATCGACACGAGAGTAGATCGAAATGGTCACTTCATCGACACGAGAGTAGATCGAAATGGTCACTTCATCGACAGCCAGTAGGGCTGGCAAAATTGGGGTGGGGGGAGGGGGAAGTCCGGGTACCAGTCGGACCACATAGACGGGTACCCGTCGGACCACTTATACGGGTACCCGTCGGACCACATTGAGGGGCACCCGTCGGACCACATTGAGGGGCACCCGTCGGACCACATAGACGAGTACCCGTCGGACCACATATACGGGTACCCGTCGGACCACATTGAGGGGCACCCGTCGGACCACATTGAGGGGCACCCGTCGGACCACATTGAGGGGCACCCGTCGGACCACATAGACGGGTACCCGTCGGATCACATAGACGGATGTTGCTCACACGACAGATGTGGCTCACACGACAGATGTGGCTCACACGACAGATGTGGCTCACACGACAGATGTGGCTCACACGACAGATGTGGCTCACACGACAGATGTGACTGAGACGACAAATGTAGCTCACACTTCTGTTCAAATATTCTGACACACACACATTAGACCTGGCATGTTTACAAGCGCCAGATCAGACTTTCATTCCGCGCGGTGGCATGTGGACATTAATAAGTCATGGTTGACTTGGAGACTGAGTGTGTAGTGAGACGTAGAACTAAACAAGGAGCAACTCCGTATGCGTTTCCATAAAGAGTGTGTGCCCTTGATGAGCAGCCTCAGGAGAAGTTAGGTAAGTGTATTTTGGGTTCTAAACTTTGCTGAACAATGTAACCGTGTACATCTATAGAAATAGAAGATTTTTTGTGTACAAAAATTAATTGCCTCTATCATATAATATAATAGTTTGAAAGGGTTTTAACTTGATATTTGATTATTTGAAAGATATGTGTAATGAAATTGTGAATAGGAAATTTAAAAAAGTAGTTTGACGCTATTTCGGTTTAAAAATAATGAGTTTAACACCTTGAAATTAAAATAACTCTTCAATTTTTATATTAATTTATACAGTACGTTGGTGCGCTTAAAAAAAAAAAACTGTTTAAATATACTTAAGAATACTATCTTGTTAAATTTGATGATTGCTGCACAAGAAGGCAGCGTGCAGACCTGGAGATTATTAAGTGATTTTTGAAAAGAAAACTGTGATTATGTTTATGGCATCCAGTGGACACTTTTTTTTTAAAATAATGCTTGAAAACGAATTTAATGAAATTGACCTAAGAAGTTTTGCGTCCATTCCTGAGTACTGGCTCCAAGGCAGATTAACTATGACTTTTTCCAAGACAGATTAACTATGACTTTGTCCAAGGCAGGTGAACTATGACTTCCTCAGTCTTGGGACGATGAGAGAGTTATGGCCCTTATGGAAAATCGTCTGTACGTCGACGCCAGCAGAAAGCTACCGGGTTTCCGTCACAACTCCCGCCATCGGTTCAAAATTACCACAACCGTTTGAACTAGATGGTAATACTGACCAACAGTTTGAACTAGATGGTAATAATGACCAACCGTTTGAACTAGATGGTAATACTGACCAACCGTTTGAACTAGATGGTAATAATGACCAACCGTTTGAACTAGATGGTAATACTGACCAACCGTTTGAACTAGATGGTAATAATGACCAACAGTTTGAACTAGATGGTAATACTGACCAACAGTTTGAACTAGATGGTAATAATGACCAACAGTTTGAACTAGATGGTAATACTGACCAACCGTTTGAACTAGATGGTAATAATGACCAACAGTTTGAACTAGATGGTAATACTGACCAACCGTTTGAACTAGATGGTAATACTGACCAACAGTTTGAACTAGATGGTAATAATGACCAACAGTTTGAACTAGATGGTAATACTGACCAACCGTTTGAACTAGATGGTAATACTGACCAACCGTTTGAACTAGATGGTAATAATGACCAACAGTTTGAACTAGATGGTAAAACTGACCAACAGTTTGAACTAGATGGTAATACTGACCAACAGTTTGAACTAGATGGTAATAATGACCAACAGTTTGAACTAGATGGTAATACTGACCAACCGTTTGAACTAGATGGTAATACTGACCAACCGTTTGAACTAGATGGTAATAATGACCAACCGTTTGAACTAGATGGTAATACTGACCAACCGTTTGAACTAGATGGTAATAATGACCAACCGTTTGAACTAGATGGTAATACTGACCAACCGTTTGAACTAGATGGTAATAATGACCAACAGTTTGAACTAGATGGTAATACTGACCAACAGTTTGAACTAGATGGTAATAATGACCAACAGTTTGAACTAGATGGTAATACTGACCAACCGTTTGAACTAGATGGTAATAATGACCAACAGTTTGAACTAGATGGTAATACTGACCAACCGTTTGAACTAGATGGTAATACTGACCAACAGTTTGAACTAGATGGTAATAATGACCAACAGTTTGAACTAGATGGTAATACTGACCAACCGTTTGAACTAGATGGTAATACTGACCAACCGTTTGAACTAGATGGTAATAATGACCAACAGTCTGAACTAGATGATAAAACTGACCAACCGTTTGAACTAGATGGTAATACTGACCAACAGTTTGAACTAGATGGTAATAATGACCAACAGTTTGAACTAGATGATAAAACTGACCAATCGTTTGAACTAGATGAGAATACTGACGGACCATTTGAAATAGAGGATAAAACTGACCAACCCCAACCGTTCAAACTAGATGATAAAACTGACCAACCGTTTGACTAGATGATAATACTGACCAACCGTTTGAAGTTGATGATAAAACTGACCATATATGGACCTAGGAAGTCTGACATAGTTAACTTTGAGTTATTGTTAACTTTGGTCCACATCTAAGAGGACAAGTAGAGGCTACGTGGCGCGACTAGGGCTTCCGGTTCACGACCAAAACTTTAAATTGGTTTGTAAATGCCATTGCGAGTAACAGTACTAATTAGTGGGTAGCTATAAAACTCGCGTAGTTTATTCTTGCATCAATTATTAGACAGACACAAATTGGAGAACACGGACACAAAGGTCAAGGCCGGTACGATCCAGATCTGTCCACCATGATGGACTCCACCCACTTTCCCAAACACGGACCACTGTTGGCTTATTACTTTGTGGACAAGAATGACACCAGGTAAACAGAAATGACACGATTGTACAAAGTCTACAATGAGTCATGATTATTTGAGGATTTTTCTTTATTAAATCAAATAAAAATAAAAATAAAAAATAGCTACAAATCTTAAGCTGTAGTTTCATACACATCAACCAAATGCTGCCCCAATATGTCGAAATAGCGATAAAAGCTTTTTTTTTTTATTACACATTATATAGTAATTTATAGAAAATTTCCTCAGACACTTTATTAGATTTAAATGCCGATATGTAGACAATCTTTGAAACCCTTGCATATTGGTATTTGCTATAGATTTCTGCTAAATTAAATGGTAAGTTCTAACATCCTTTGTAGGCATGTTTATTGTTACGTCTACAGGCAAAAGGCAAGACGTGCCGACAGCAAATGGTTAGACACATTGTGCTCTCAGCCCGTGGATGAAATTCTCCGGAAATATCACGCCCGTAGCGGAACCGGAAAGCCACAGGCCGCTATGGGCGCCACAAGCTCCACGCGTGGAGAAATCGCCTTGCTGCATGCCTGGACAAGCAACATGCCTCGGTCACAGAAACACGGACAGGATGATGAGGCCCGACTGGCTGGAGATACAGCTTCCGCACCTCTGAACCGACTGGCTGTTCCCGGAGAACTTGGTCCTAGCAGTGCTAGTGGCGCCAACAACGGTTTCAACATGAGACGTCGAGATCTCAGTTCAAGCACTGGAATTCCAAATGAAGACTTCTTAAGGCCCGTGATCATCGCATGCACAATATCACAACTACCTTCTAAGACACACAGCGGCGGATCTAAGGACGGGGATACAAAACAAAGGCGAAACGTGAGGTTCCCTCGGTTAAACAACGATAAGAAGAAGATGATGAAAGAAAAATCTGAGAAAATTGAGGAAGGTCGTCGTACTCCAGGATCAAATGAAGCTTCTGCCTTAGCTGAACTCAGTGAGGATGGGTAAAGACATGGGTCTTATCAACATGTGCCGTGTTGTTGAATGGATCAATTAAATTAGAATATTTTTTGGTCAGACCTTTAATCGATATTTAGAAATCTGGTTTTAATCCAGCTATCGGTTTTCACAAATCCTTTTCTAACTGCTCTGCACATCAAGGTCAGCTTGACATGACATTTTGAATGATCGTAAGCGGCAGTTGAAAGTGTGTCAGTTTCGAAAGGCCGACAATGCCACAGTTTAGTGGCAGCAGTGACAGGCACTGACTTAATGGATGCAAATCCTGCGCTGAAGAACATGTATTTAATGTCTTTAATTACCAGTTACCAGGCGGCGATAAAGCGATCTGCACCTAGGGGCCCATCCATGAATGATGCCTCTCTTTTTTTGGCCAGGGTTTTTAGTCCCCCCCCCCCTCCCCCACCCCGTCTTCACGAATTCGCCACAAAATTTACCAGTTACCAGGCGGCGATAAAGCGATCTGCACCTAGGGGCCCATCCATGAATGATCCCTCTCTTTTTTTGGCCAGGGTTTTTAGCCCCCCCCCCCCTCCCCCACCCCGTCTTCACGAATTCGCCACAAAATTTAGAAACCCACGTCACCCATCCTCACAAACAGTTGACCCCTCTCCCCCCCTCTCTCTCTCCCTATAGATTCGGGGGCGTAACTTAAGGATCGCATCTTTCGGTCCCTGAACCAATTGTAATACACAGGGGACATCGGATTTGATTCTAAAAAGCACCAGTGGTATTTATTTTTTAAACACTATTCCCTAAAAAATTTATTCCAGTCCCCAATGTTTCTCAGCGTCAGTTGCTGTCCCCAGATCTAGCTTGAAAGGGGAAATGGGTACTTTATACAGTAGATAGTATTATAGTTTCTAAATTATTTATATATATATTATATAGATTATAATTATTAAAAAAAATATGTTGATATTTTTTTAATGTAAACAAATGTTTTTAGGTTTCAAAACAGATGAAAGTTTACATCCTTAAGCTAAGTAAACATCCCCTCCCCACTTTCCAAGTTACACCGGACACCTTCGATGGCCATCAGTTTCTTATTAGCCAGGTTTTTGCACAATGACCCCTGCTATCCACAAGGCAAGTTTTCACAAACACCACTGCTATCAGCATGACAAGTTTTCAAAATGACCCCTGCTATCAACCAGAAATGTCAGATGTTCATGTACCTTTATGACCGACATGGAGTGACAAGTGGAGTCATACGCAGAGTCACGCAAGAGGGGGGTGTGTCAGACATGTAACCACACATGGAATGGCACATGCAGTCACACATAGAGTCAGACATGTAGCCACACATGGAATGGCACATGCAGTCACACATAGAGTCAGACATGTAGCCACACATGGAATGGCACATGCAGTCACACATAGAGTCAGACATGTTGTCACACATGGAATGGCACATGCAGTCACACATAGAGTCAGACATGTAGCCACACATGGAATGGCACATGCAGTCACACATAGAGTCAGACATGTTGTCACACATGGAATGGCACATGCAGTCACACATAGAGTCAGACATGTAGCCACACATGGAATGGCACATGCAGTCACACATAGAGTCAGACATGTTGTCACACATGGAATGGCACATGCAGTCACACATAGAGTCAGACATGTTGCCACACGTGTATTCAGTCATGATTTATTAGAAGCTGTATTCCTGAAAAGTGTGTGTGTTTGTTTGTTGTGTTTTTTTTGTTCTTTTTTTTGTTAATGTTTCAACATTGTTGACGGTGAATATTAATTTATACGCTCATAGTTCCCTTGCCGTCACTCTCTCCAGGCTATGATTGATAGCGATCCCAAATTTCGAATGTCAGAATGTCCTGTCGCTCTTTGATTTTTTAGTTATCAGAATTTTTTTTTTTTAAATAGTTTGCTACCTTAAGTCGCCCCCCCCCAAGGTCACGTTGAATGCCCACCCCCACCCCCACCTCCTATTGACACGTCTCTAACGCTGTCATTATTTTCCATAACGGTCGCCATTCATAAGTGTGATTAAAGGTAAGTCAATTTCACTTGACGGCTGGCTGAAGAGGGGTTGATAGGTGTTATTATCCACATGACTGGGTTCCCCGTGAATCGGGGGGGGGGGGGTGTTAGAATTAAGTTAGGGGCGATAGGTGTTATTATCCACATGACTGGGTTCCCCGTGAATCGGGGGGGGGTGTTAGAATTAAGTTAAGGGCGTGAGAAATGGCCTGTCCGTACGCTTCACCCACAGCAAACCCTAAAACTCCAAAGTATTGAACTTTAATTTCTTCCTTTCCAATTTAAAAATAAAAATAGGCTCTCGATCGCATTTAAAATGTATTTATCTTTAGTAACTATTTTATAACAAAATATCATTTTGTTGTTCTAACCCTCCCTAGACATTGTTAATTGCCGATTCCTATCCAACAATGAATGTGGCCAGGTGCTGACTCCACCGCCAAGTAAAACTTAATTTAACTTTGAGAGTAACGCGTGAAATATTATTTTTAAAAGTTTATTATGTAAACAAACTTAAGACTCATCGGTTACTTAAATCAAAAACATTACCGCTATTCTGTGTGTATACAGATTGTACGTTGCTATTAGTCCATTTGATTTACATGCATATTTTTAAAAGCTCTCCTGTGATTATAAAGACAATTTTATTAGTGTTACTTTCAAATCCAGGCGCTTGCATGATAATGTTTACGGAAAAAAACATTTGTGTTGTTACTTCACTTCAGAATGGGAGTATATTTTACCGTAAGATTAAGTGTATATTTTAACATAAGGCTAGCTGAATATTTAACTTAGTCTTATGTTACAATACACATTTACTCGTTTGGGAATATTTAACTTAAGAATAAGTGTATATTTAAACTTAAGACTAAGTGTATCTTTTAACTTAAGACTAAGTGTATATTTTAACATAATGCTGGGTGTATATTTTAACTTAAGACTAAGTGTATATTTTAACTTAAGACTAAGTTTATATTTTAACTTAAGACTAAGTGTATATTTTAACTTAAGACTAAGTGTATCTTTTAACTTAAGACTAAGTGTATATTTTAACTTAAGACTAAATGTATATTTTAACTTAAGACTAAGTGTATATTTCAATTTATGACTAAATGTATATTGTAAGCTTTCCTTTCAAAAACGTGTTAACGTTTGTGTCTTTCATACTAAAAAATTAAAATGAGAATGTTGACGTCATTCCTCACTGAAGTGATTGCATTGATAAGATTCAAATGTTTTAGTTCAATACAATAAATATATATATAAATAAACAGGCTCTTGCTTATTTATTTTTAGCCACACCCATTTCTTTATTTGGGTGAAATGTGTTAGTGAGGTGTGTTTGTTGTCAGTTATGTGTAATGTTTGTCAGATGGGTGTCGTTTTTTGTGAGTTAGGTGTCATTTCTTGGTTAAGTGTCAATTTTTTTTTTAGTTTGGCCTCGTTTTTTTTATTTAGGTGTCATTTTTAGTAAGGTATCTTTTTTAGTTGGTGTCATTGTTAATAAAAGTATCTTTTTAGTTAGGTGTCATTTTTAATAAGGCATCTTTTTAGTTAGGTGTCATTTTTAATAAGGTATCTTTTGAATTAGGTGTCATTTTTAATAAGGTATCTTTTTAGTTATGTGTCATTTTTAATAAGGTATCTTTTTATCGTTTTTGTGAGTTAGGTGTTATTTCTTGGTTAAGTATGAATTTCTTAGTTTGGTCTCGATTTTTAGTTAGGTGTCAATTATTTTAGTAAGGTCACTTTTATTTAGTTAGGTGTCATTTTTTAATAAGGTATCTTTATAGTTAGGTGTCATTTTTAATAAGGTATCTTTTTAGTTAGATGTCATATTTAATAAGGTATCTTTTTAGTTTGGTGTCATTTTTAATAAGGTATCTTTTTATCGTTTTTGTCAGTTAGGTGCTATTTCTTGGTTAAGTATGAATTTTTTAGTTTGGTCTCGATTTTTAGTTACGTGTCAATTCTTTTAGTAAGGTAACTTTTTTTTTTAGTTAGGTGTCATTTTTTGTAGTTACTCATCTTAATTGATTCCTTCAATGCATACCTATGTCCTGTTATCCGCCCAGTTCCAATTATTTTTGATGTGGCACATCGGAAGTGTCGTAATTTTATACAATTCTAGTTACTCCCTCTTACCTTGTACGGTTTGCTAGTGATGTAATATGCCCTTTGGAATGACAACTCTGTAAAAGCCAAAGAAAGCAGACATAGCTCAAAAGCAGACATATCTCAAAAGCAGAAACACAAGTCAAAAGAAATGCAGGCGAGAAGTTAATATTTGCAGATTTTAATTCAAACAAACTTGTACAGGAATAACTGCGGTTTTCATAAATCCAATGCAATATTTTTTTTTTAGTGATTCACTTTAACTGTAATGATAATGATGAAATCTCTCCTCTTAATTCGTGCCCGTGACATGACTTTCTGAATGATTCTTGACACTTGACATTATTTACTATTTAATAATAACATGAATTGATACAAAGATGATTTATCGGTTGGTGATGGCAGTCATATGATAAAACGTTTTCCTTAAAATCAGTAATGAATTGCACACCAGACATACACATACACCCAGATAAACTTTGCCATGTAAGGTTAGAACTGGTGTTAAGGTCACATCCATTTATTTTTTTTAAATATTCTAAAAATGGATATATCAGAAGTTAATGCAGAGAAAGCAGCTAAAATTAACAATATGCCTCAGCACGTTGCTTTAATGCAGAAAAAATTGCGCCGGGGCGAAGTCTGAAAATGCACCCTACCCACTGTTTCATTAATAAATTATTTAGGACATTCGCATATGTTATACATACATACATACATATATATATATATTTCTTTTAAAGATTGTCGATGCTAGACCAAATATTAATGAAGTATATATATTATTTGCGACCTCCTGAGGCGAGTGACCAGGGTGGTCACCCCTGTTTGCCCGCCCTGGTTGACAGGGGGCCTCCAAATATCACGTGACGGCCCTGGTGTACTGTAACGGATTTGTTTATCTCTATTCTCCAGCTGACTACCTTCCACGTCATGGTCTATAAATAGACTTTGTAAACCAACGGCTTATACATTTGTACTGCATTCGTCCTAAAATTCGTCAAAAACAACGCGTTTTCGTGAAATTTTACTGAATTAATTTGAGTTGAAACTAAAATTGTAAAGTTGATGGTGACAAGAAAGGCTAATCTGAACCAAGACAGGCTAATCTGAACCAAGACAGGCTAATCTGAACCAAGACAGGCTAATCTGAACCAAGACAGGCTAATCTGAACCAAGACAGGCTAATCTGAACCAAGACAGGCTAATCTGAACCAAGACAGGCTAATCTGAACCAAGACAGGCTAATCTGAACCAAGACAGGCTAATCTGAACCAAGACAGGCTAATCTGAACCAAGACAGGCTAATCTGAACCAAGACAGGCTAATCTGAACCAAGACAGGCTAATCTGAACCAAGACAGGCTAATCTGAACCAAGACAGGCTAATCTGAACCAAGACAGGCTAATCTGAACTCGTCACAAAGTAGTTTTACACTCTCAATATTGTTTACGTTGCGTATTTTTCTATGGGAGCTTTAAAAGAAAATATTTTGGAAATCCTTTCTTCTTTTTATTCCCTCTTCCCCGATTTTTCGTTTTAAGTTGTTGTTTTTTTTTTAATAAATTTTTCTATCTGCTCCTAAAGAACAGTTGCTTTACTTGACCAGTGAGGTCATTTCCCCCAGACTAGCTGGGAACTTCAATTACAAATTATTATTATTAGCACCGACCAGTTGTTATGGCCGACGGGCAGATACGGCTCGACCAGGTGTAGTAGCATCGGCCAATGTTAACTGTGATGAATTTTACTTAACACAAATGAATCACGAAAAACTGAAATAAAACGTCAGAGCAAGTAATTTGTATAAGGGTCCTCGCACTTTCGCATTTGCTGGTCCACTAATTTGGAACGCCCTTCCTGTCGATCTCAGAAACAACCAGACACTGGAGTCCTTTAAAACCGATTTAAAGACACATCTATTTCGCAAACACCTTCTGGGATGATTGTCAACATTATTTTCCAGTTAATGCATAATGGCTGTGTTGCTTATGGTTGAAATGGCTAGAAAGACTTTGACATTGTATGCTTGTACTTAGTTTTTGTCGTGTTGCGTTTGTTTTAAATGTGGTAAACTATAGATTTGTTGTTGTTTTTTTGACTTTGTACCGCGTTTCGAGCCTTTGGGGAGGAAGCGTGTTTTTGAAATGAACTTTATTATTATTATTATTATTATACAGGTCAAAATGAGATTTGTTGGTTTGTTGTTGTTTTTTTGTAAGAGAAGGCAATCAACATCATTCTACCCCTCGCCCCCCTTTTTTCCCCCACTTACTACAAACACCGAACCACAAACACACACTTCAATTGGAATAAATGTCTCTCAAGCAGAATTACAGTTGAACCCCGCTATAACGCGCCCCGCCATAAGGCGAATTCGAATGTAACGCGGTCGTAGCATGGCTCCCGAAATTTGAAATTCATTTACTCCATCAGGCCTAAGTTCTTTGAAAATTTTAGCCATTGCTTGGTAAGCCATTTTTTAAAGCGAAAAAAATCACAACTTTTTCAAAATATCGTACAAAATGAGCCCCTAAACGCACCACGTTCAAACTGGTATCGAAATTAATGCCGAAAACGAGGCTTTCGTCCGGTTTAATATTGTAAAACCGTGCATTAACGCAACCCCGCTTTTAACGCGATCCGATTTGATGGACCCCGATCATCGCGTTATAGCGGGGTTCCACTGTACTTCAATACACACAACCATGCTTATCAAGACTCGTGCGCGTTGCCGTGCATATTTCACATTGTAGAAAAGTTCCATATATAATATAGAAAATGTATGTCACAGGTTATTCGTATTTATATTATATTGAGCAATGAACATTTTATGAAAGTACGAGGCTCTTCAGTACCTTGTTCAGGTACGACCACATAAGCCTTTGGGAAGGAGGCTTTTGAATAAATTGAGTTGGTACGACCACATAAGCCTTTGGGAAGGAGGCTTTTGAATAAATTGAGTTGGTACGACCACATAAGCCTTTGGGAAGGAGGCTTTTGAATAAATTGAGTTGGCGTCAGAAGCTGTTACTAAACCTAAAAGCTGATCACCAACAGTCATGAAATAGGATGACATGTTCGATCACCAAAAGTTATGAAATAACTTATAAGATGATCTTTTTTTCCTCACTACACTGAATAATTTATTTTTAATTCAAGGGTCCTCACACAGCCAGAAGGTCCTTCCTGCTTTCCCACGGATCCATCCAGGAAATAGCATATACAGTTATTGTAAAATTTGCAATTTTTATATTCTTAGGAAGGGGCAACTAAGATACATTAGTTTAGCATAAGATAAGGGGGCAACTAAGATACATTAGTTTAGCATAAGATAACCCAAAGCAAAATACATTGTTGACTTATCAAACAAGAATTTCAGATATATATGATATATATGTTTGAGAATGAAACTAGTTCCAGACTTCAGTCAGAAACTGCTTGATCAAATGGTATTTTTAGCTGAACCAAGTTAAAGTGGGGTGCCCAAAATGTTGCCATAAGTGGACATGGGGCATCGTATGTGTAAACAACGTAGAAATCATAGAGCAGACATTTTTGTTGTATTAGTTTTAAAATTAGACATAATCTCTCAATTTATTTTTTACGCAGTATATATAATATTCATGCGTTAGTATACCCAGCTATTGCTTGATTCACATTATAAATTAGTTGTGCTTCTTACAATAATTACATTATATCAAAATATGTTTAAGACATGTTTAGTTCATATATCGTCCCGCAAAATTAGGATTGAGCATAAATTGCATACACGTGTCCTCAAAACTTGAACAGCGTTAATAAAAGTATTGGTCATCATGTAACTGCTCAGTTATGTCTATACATTAGGGAAATGTCTTCTAAGGCAACCCTTCACGTTTTGCTGAAAAGGCAACCTTGATACTGCTACCACTTTGAGCAACTTATGTGTCCACTGTGGCAGTCCATTCACAAAACTCCTTGGGTGTCCTTCCGTTTTATCAATTTGATGGCCTGATGGTTGCGATTGAATCTCTCAAGGTCCATTAAGAAATCACTGACTTTGCTCTCAAGAATTTCTCTTTCGCTGCGCAGCTGCAGCAGCTGCGACCTCCGCCTCTTCTCGCTGATGATCGTCATGTTCCGTTTCCTGTTCTCGAAGGTGTTTATGATCTCGTCTTCTTTCGGCGCCACCCTGCTCAGCAGCTCGAGTTCACGACGTGACCTACATCTGATCACGGCCGTTTGAGCCCTGGGAGGGAGGAGATCGTCCGGCTTTGACTCGCGGACGTACCCGGCGGTCACCGGGCGCATACCGCTTTGCGAGGATGACGTCGGCTTGAGGTAACCCTTCGCGCTTTTCGCGCGCGGAGGGGGTTTCTGCTCGGGCAGAGAGGCGGGCGCTTCATCAATGGACTCCGTTGTATCCGGGACAAACACGTCAAACGGTTCCATGTCCACGACGGGCGGCTGGAAGAACTTTTTTTGCGGCAACGTTTCGAAGCCCAGGGCTGATTTGGCGCGCCGTACGTTGAACAAGTTTTTGGAGCTGAATTTCTCTCGCTCGGCTTCAATCCGCATCTGGGAACGGTTGCCCTTGCCGTGGTCTCCATACTCCTGTCTGTCGTTGCCGTAACGCGAGGCCCGCGTGCTGGACAGGAAGTCGGTGGAATCGGCAGGGTTGCGGCTGTTGACTGCCTCCTGGAGTCGGCTGATGACCTGCATTTGCTTTCTGATTTCTTCGAGTTGTTCCCCCGTTTCTGCCAGCAGGCGTCGCTCATCCTAGAAATGATACAGACATGACCCCATTAGACAGTGGCATCAATGGGGAAATAGTAGGTACTCGTTAAAAACGTTGCCCTGTCTCATTTTTGTGAACGTCATTGTAAAACTAACAGGTGACCTATTGACCTTTTCCAATTCCAAACAACTTATGTGCACATGAATACAAACACTTTTTGTGCACTTACAACCAACAAAACTGCCCAATGCACAACAGCACACTTGCTGCGCAGAGACAATCAGTAAAAAAAATTACCCGTTTGAGATGTCCGATTTGCTCTGCAAGTCCCTCCTCCAATACAACATTTTCCTTGTAGATTGTGCTGTGGTCCATCTTGACCATGGACTGAATGGATGTTTCCGGGGCGGTGCTGTTTCGCGACTTGAACCTTTGAATGAGAACAAATTGTTTGGTAAGTACGTGCATGCAATTATTTTTTCTTTTTTTTTTTTTTTTTTTTTTGTGGGAGCAAGTTGTTTCACGTTTTTTGGTTTTTTTTAAAATATGCGTGTGATTTTGAATGCAAAGAAATTGTTTCAAAGGAATTTTTTTTTTTTTTTTTTTTTTTTTTTTTTTTTTTTTTTTTTTTTTTTTTTTTTTTTTTTTTGTGGGAGCAAGTTGTTTCACGTTTTTTGGTTTTTTTTAAAATATGCGTGTGATTTTGAATGCAAAGAAATTGTTTCAAAGGAACGTCTTATTCAATAAGTCTTTGTGTTAATCAAGTATATTTTATTGATTATGTTTAATTTCTCCCAAAACATTAAAATCTCCTTATAGAGTTTCATTATTTAAGATTAGACTACAGAGATTGTTGGTGAAAGGGATCATGGCAAGAAAGGAGTTCTCTGTGTTACGCAGTGACTTGAGCCAGGAGGGGGCCATTCATGCTACAGGGTGTCCTTATACAAGAAGTGGGACCCTTCATGTTCGCAGTTGTAGCCACACACAGAGTAGCAAGCAATTGTAGCTACACTCGGACTCGCACGTAATGGTAGCCACACACGGAGTTGCATGGAATGGTAGCCACACTCGGAGTCGCTCGCAATGGTTCGAAATGTTTGCCACACGCAGACAACACGCAATGGTAGCCACACAGAGAGTCGCTCACGATGGTAGCCACACACAGAGTACACACCATATGGTAGCCACACACAGAACCGCACATGCTTTGTCTTCATTTTGGGCAGCTGTAAGAAGGTCAATATTCAACTTAATATATCACTTCATAAAGTCATCCCTCTCCCCCCCCCCTCAAAAAAAAAACCAGTTTCAATAAAGAGCATCGTAACTTAATGAGTTCGATCATATCGATTGATTTCCTTATTAACCCTGAGACCGACGTGCCATGAATCACGTAACCTGCTTCACTAATCCGTAATCAAGCACTGGTTAAGGTAATGTAATCCAGGGGATGATGAAATGTAGTGCAGCAGTTGTATTATAGATTATAATCAGTGCTGCGTGCAAGGTTATAGGGACGCGTGACGCGTGGTCTGTGTGTTAAATGGTAGTGTTGGTGTGTCTGGTAGTGTTGGTGTGTCTGGTAGTGTTAGTGTGTCTGGTAGTGTTAGTGAGTCTGGTAGTGTTAGTGAGTCTGGTAGTGTTAGTGAGTCTGGTAGTGTTAGTGAGTCTGGTAGTGTTAGTGAGTCTGGTAGTGTTAGTGAGTCTGGTAGTGTTAGTGTGTCTGGTAGTATTAGTGTGTCTGGTAGTGTTGTTGAGTCTGGTATTTTTAGTGTGTCTGGTAGTGTTAGTGTGTCTGGTTGTGTTAGTGTGTCTGGTAGTGTTAGTGTGTCTGGTAGTGTCAGTGTGTCTACTGGTAGTGATTTGTCTGGTTCAGTACTGAGTGAGAGCTAGTTTTGATAGCGCTCGTTTGTCTGGTTCAGCACTAAGCTATAGTTAATTTGGTAGTTTGTTTTGTCTGGTTCAGCACTAAGCTATAGTTAATTTGGTAGTTTGTTTTGTCTGGTTCAGCACTAAGCTATAGTTAATTTGGTAGTTTGTTTTGTCCGGTTCAGCACTAAGCTATAGTTAATTTGGTAGTTTGTTTTGTCCGGTTCAGCACTAAGCTATAGTTAATTTGGTAGTTTGTTTTGTCTGGTTCAGCACTAAGCTATAGTTAATTTGGTAGTTTGTTTGGTTCAGCACTAAGCTATAGTTAATTTGGTAGTTTGTTTTGTCCGGTTCAGCACTAAGCTATAGTTAATTTGGTAGTTTGTTTTGTCTGGTTCAGCACTAAGCTATAGTTAATTTGGTAGTTTGTTTTGTCCGGTTCAGCACTAAGCTATAGTTAATTTGGTAGTTTGTTTTGTCTGGTTCAGCACTAAGCTATAGTTAGTTTGGTAGTTTGTTTTGTCTGGTTCAGCACTAAATTAAGTTAGATGAATGCATTGTTTGTAAACTATCGCTGGCTCAATACTATGTTAAAGCTAGTTCTAAGAGTCTAGTTTTAGGACCACTTCAAATCGATCAATTTGTTCATCATTTTAATCCTGCAACAGTTTATTGTTAAACAGAAAAGCCTACACAAAGATTTTGTTTAATTGAACATTTATGTATCTGTACCACTGGTCACTACTTCATAACCTCATTGCTGAATTCCTAGTAGGTGGCATTTGTAGACAGATATCATAAAGAAACATAACACTCTTGAGAATCTCAAGTGACACTAGTTTATTTTACTATTTATAGAGCTGATCCCCATATAATATGCCATTTGAGCGCTCTCTGGGTTTTTTTTTTAATAATTTACATAAATATAACATACAGCATACACGAGGAATAAACAATATCATAAAATAGTTTTTTTTTAATAGTTATAAGCAAGTTAATACAACTAGAAAATATAAGCATTTGCCTAAAGCAGCGGTTCTCAACCTGTGGGTCGCGACCTCTCTGGGGGTCGCACAACCCTTTCCTAGGGGTCGCCGAAGACCACCTGAAAACATATGTACTCTACTGTTATGAAGAAGCAAAGAACATGATTTTGTGGCTGGGGGTCACCACAGCACGAGGAACTGTATTATAGGGTCGCGGCATTAGGAAGGTTGAGAACCACTGGCCTAAAGTGACATTTTACGATACCAACCACCCAGAATACACCTGCGTCAATCATATTTATAACGTTAGTTTGAAGGCCTACAAAAAACAAAATGATTCTTTGACAGTATACTGAAGCAGGTGTTCCCAAATGTTGAAATTTGGTTAAAACCAATATTCCGATTCGCGCATGATTGCTCGACCAAGTCGTGAGAATCCCCCGCATGACTTGAAACGGAACGGTTTGTGTGTTACTGTTAGGTGGAGACGGTCAACTGGTCAAGCAGGGCAATGAAGAGTTGATCCAACAAGCAAAGGCGTTCGAATTCGTCAGATGAATAGCATTGCTTACAACATCAAGAAGCTGCTTTTGTTCACATGAATCCTCCCATTGGTGGAAGTTTGATGAAAAGTCGATTGTCCTCATTGAATAGAAAAACTAAATGATTGTTTTGTCAACATCTAGCTTTCCTTCACCACAACTGTGGCTGTCTTTCCAAATGGGGTTATCGCCGCTGCTAGGGAGGTCTCGATGTTAGTTGACGTGAATATTTGGATAAAATTAAGTTTGGACATTTCATATACTTACCAAGATTTCGACATTATCGAATTTACTGAAGTTGAACCAATGTTTTCAAAAATTACTTGTTGTTCGAGTTGTTAAAATATCAGATGATAAAATTGTATCTTAGGGCAAGCTTGCTTCAGATTGACTAACTAACAAATGATCAAGATGTTAGAAACGGCCAGTAGTAAATTCATATAAAGAACTGTAGGGTACAAATGTCTTTTTCAAATTTTGTTTATTCAAAAGTACTAGCCATTCTTAAGTACAATATGGGTTTGTTATGTTCTTCATTGTCTCCCATCTCAACGAGTTACAGTGGGAACAGAATCAATTTTAATTAATTTCTTCCCTGGTTGGTCAATATTGATTTTTATTAAATAGTATTTCGTCGGCAAACGAATGTGTGTGCTATTTTTATGTTTACAATAAGTTAAAGCGTTTCTTTCTGTCTATGTCAATACGCCAAACTATCTCTTTCTGTCAGTGTCAGTACGTTAAAGCGTTTCTTTCTGTCTATGTCAATGTGTCAAACTTCTCTCTTTCTGTCCCTGTCAGTACGTCAAAGTCTCCTTCTGCCCATGTCAATGCGCCAAACGTCTCTTTCTTTACGTCAAACGGCAAACGTCTCTTTCTGTCAATGTCTTTTGTACCATAAATCCGAGCACTTTTAAAAATAATAATAATAAGTTCTAAACTGACGTGTTAACGTACCATTTTGAAGTCGATTCACTCTGAACAAAGCACAGCATGTTGGATAGGCTCAGCATCGGCTCACGTTGCCAACAATCCGGTCTAATGTATACAATGTGTACAACTAACACCCAAGATCTCAGCAACACACACATTTGTTCCAAGACATTATACAATGGTATTCGTGTTTTACAGGACGTCGTGAAACAGCACCACGGCTGTTAGTCGAATATTTATACATCAACACAGGGCTCTCTACATGAACCGTCCTAGTGTATAAAGGAAACATTAGAAGTTAGGGCGGTGTGGGAGAGAGAGAGAGAGAGAGAGAGAGAGAGAGAGAGAGAGAGAGAGAGAAAGAAGGAATCATGTGTTCCAGTGTTGATCTTTTAAACCCCTGATAGCTTGCGTGGCCATTGTTGTCACGAAGTACTTTCGTTTATGATAAAGATTGGAGCGCAGGAAGTCAGAGACAGCAGAGCAGGCCTTGCGCAACGAAATAGTCTGGGTCTTAATGGCCACCAGACAGCCATGAGATACAGCAGCGTTTTTTTTTTTTTTTTTTTTTGGCTTTTGCTGTCGTAAAGCTTTATATCTGTGCGGTAAATCTTGATATCTTTGTGGGAAAAGCTTTATGCCTGTGCGGTAAAGCTTTATATCCGTGAGGGTAGGGTCGTGTGAGGGGGGTGGGGGTGAAGTGAGCCTTCAGCCTGGGGGCCAACATAAGGGCGCCCCAAAATTACCTTAAGATACGACCTTAAAGTGGAGTAAACGATGTAACCTCATGTACTTCAAGAAAACAAGGGGCGACAAAATCGTTTATGTACTAGTCGGTCGCAGGGCGCACTTTATACAACAAAAACAACTGTTATGTGCCATTTTCAATCTTTGCCCGTGCACGACTTTTCCTTGGCATGGCCGTGTGACTTGCAGTCTTGTATTGTTTTAGGTTCTTTTCAGTGGTTGCTAGATCAAACTATCAGAATTTAACGGGTGACAATCTAAACATTTATGGGAGTTGCGTATTTAAATTCCCCCCCCCCCCTTTGGAGTGGGTAAATATTTTTCCACCTCCCCCCCCACTCTGTAGTTGGCCGAAATCCACGTCCTTCAATATATATTTTAAAAAATGCCGCCCGCTCCCCCCCCCCCCCACCTTTTTTTCCCGCTACGCCAGAGAATGTTGGCTTTTTTTTTATATACAAACAATGAAGCGTAAATATTACGATCATGACACCACAAACTTCCTGTGTCGATTGCTTTCATAGGTGAGTGGGCGTGTACGGGATGTCATGGTTGACTGAACTGAAGCGCCCTGGCAACAAGAGACACACTTGTATTTTGTGACAAGACACGGGGCGACTGAAGTGGACTGAGTCAATAAACGAAATCTTCCAGGACGCGATCAAACCGTCATAAGACTTCAATGTTTATATCTGCATCTAGGCCGCCTGTGTGAAGAAAGAAAGTGTGTTTGTGTGTGTGTGTGGGGGGGGTGATAACAAAACAAATGTACAAAACCAGGGGGGACAGAACCTGCCCCCTGATCGTGGCGTGATAACATACACAACTTGGTGGTAGGGCATAGAAGAACACTTGATGTCGTTTTGTTGGCTGACGGGCATGTTGTGATACATAGCTCTATTGCCACTTTGACTGCTCGTTGACTTCTTTGACTGCTCGTTGACTTCCTCAATGCGGATCATAAATTCCTAGTTTTGAAGTTCAACTTTTCTTTAGCTCTGGGAGTTGATAATTTTTTTTAATATCATCATTAATAATTTATGTTCTTTTTGGGACCTCAGGATTATCAACAGATCTCGCACTTGGTGTCTGTCTAATGTGTGCGGGTAAAGTGACCAGAAGCGGGCAAAGGGTTTTAGAATTTGTTTGTCAAACTGGATGTGACAGGTTTGGGGTGTAGGGCGGGGGTTGGGGGAGCTGAGTCGGCCCAAACAAGAAGATTGAGTCTCCAAACCCTATGATGTGTTACCGGGCCTACAAAGCCTTTGTCCGGCCGCTTTTAGATTACGCATCTTCACCCTGAGACCCATTCACTCAGAGACCCATTCACCCTGAGACCCATTCACCCAGAGGAGCAGCGACAGGTAGGAGCAGCGACGGCCAGCACGATTTGTCCTGAACCGCTACAGGAACACCTCAAGTGTTGTTAGCTTGCTGGAAAGACTGAGCTGGTCACCACTGGAGGAATGACGACGACTATCCACGCTCTCCATGAATGACAACAACAACAAAAACAAAATGGGCCGTTCCACTGCTCCAACATTAAACAGAAACTCGTCCCTCTCCCCGCCTGACAAGCAGTTCCGGCTCATAACAGCAAGAACAAAGCACAGGAGTAGCTCATTCCTGCCAAAGAAAATAAGGGACTGGAACAAGCTTCCAAAAGGAACAGTTGAGGCGACAACACTTGACACATTTGCCTCTATTGCCTGAAGCCTTTCAACCCCCAGTTCCTGATGTAGCCCTTGCAACCAGTGAAATATCCACTTCAATACCAGGCACAGAAGTATTGCGAATCCCCCTTACGTACATAAGAGTCAGAATGATCAATACATTGATCGTAGGCCCTTAATATAGAAGAAGAAGAGCCTCTAATGAAATCGAATGTAAAATTCTGTCCTGGTGACAATTAGTTGCATGTCCTTTGCTTGTAATTATATGTAGACCAATAGAACAGAACGAACTTCCCTGGCTTATAGAACAAAACCAAATTCCTTGACTCATAGAACAGAACAAAATTCCCTGACTTATAGAACAGAACAAAATTCCCTGACTTATAGAACAGAACAAAATTCCCTGACTTATAGAACAGAACAAACTTCCTTGACTTATAGAACAGAACAAAATTCCTTGACTCACAGAACAAAATTCCCTGACTTATAGAACAGAACAAAATTCCCTGACTTATAGAACAGAACAAACTTCCTTGACTTATAGAACAGAACAAAATTCCCTGACTTATAGAACAGAACAAACTTCCCTGACTTATAGAACAGAACAAACTTCCTTGATTTATAGAACAGAACAAAATTCCCTGGCTTATAGAACAAAACAAACTTCCCTGGCTTATAGAACAGAACAGACTTCCTTGGCTTATAGAACAGAACAAAATTCCTTGGCTTATAGAACAGAACAACATTTCTTGGTTTATAGAACAGAACAAACTTCCCGACTTACAGAACAGAACAGACTTCCTTGGCTTACAGAAAAGAACAAACTTCCTTGGCTTATAGAGCAGAACAGACTTCCTTGGCTTATAGAACAGAACAGACTTCCTTGGCTTATAGAACAGAACAAAATTCCTTGGCTTATAGAACAGAACAACATTTCTTGGTTTATAGAACAGAACAAACTTCCCGACTTACAGAACAGAACAGACTTCCTTGGCTTACAGAAAAGAACAAACTTCCTTGGCTTATAGAACAGAACAGACTTCCTTGGCTTATAGAACAGAACAGACTTCCTTGGCTTATAGAATAGAACAGACTTCCTTGGCTTATAGAACAGAACAGACTTCCTTGGCTTATAGAACAGAAAAAACGTCCCCGACTTATCAAGTAGAATGCGGTCCAAATTGCACGTACTTGAACTGTCGACCAAGTTGAATGATCGAAGATAATTACTTCCATTACCCATAACGACCGTGTTTCTTTAAAAAAAATGTATGGGGAGGGTTAACTGACCACCCTCCCAACCCCCCACCCCTTTAACTTTCAGTCGGTAGCCCTCGGCGCCTTGATATTCTGATTCCTTGTCGCCCTTCCCTGTCCCCAACGTTTCAATGCAACCACCTCAGAATCAAATGGCATGAAAGAATTAGTGAACATAGATTAGTCTCCGGTCTTTGAATTAATCCAACATTTTCTTGGGAAGGGTTCAGTGACCACCTCCATAGAAACCTCTTCCTACGTATGCTCGGAAACCATCGAGGGGAAAAAAAAATTTAATTGTTTTTTAAAAATATATTAATTTCGTTTGATTTTGCATATAAATTTTGACTAAAGATTTCAGGATGAAATATAGCTGAATGCAAAAGATAACCCTCAGGAGCACCAAAAACAGAGTGAATTTATTTTTATGTTGCGCTTAGTCAGTTTTCATCATTGTCGAGATTATGCCTATTTTTGTTGCTGGTCATTGCCCACGCGAATGTCTGAAATGCCTCCCCTCCCCAAATCCACACCCCCCAATAAGAAATTAGCTGAAGGAGACACCGCTCGATGACCATTGTTGTGTCCGGCGAGTAGACATTTTGTTTTAAATATTTAATGAAGTCATATAACGTTTGGGACTGCCAAGCATTACGCACATTGATTATTTTTATATTTTATTTCAAGTTATTAAGGGGGGGTTATAATTCCTTTTGTTTTGTTGTTTTTAAGTTTAAAAGTGGCGCTAGTACCGTGGTAAGGAGAAGAGTCTCTGTCTGGGTGTGCAAATGTGCAGTCTCTGTCTGGGTGTGCAAATATGCAGTCTCTGTCTGGGTGTGCAAATGTGCAGTCTCTGTCTGGGTGTGCAAATGTGCAGTCTCTGTCTGGGTGTGCAAATGTGCAGTCTCTGTCTGGGTGTGCAAATGTGCAGTCTCTGTCTGGGTGTGCAAATGTGCAGTCTCTGTCTGGGTGTGCAAATGTGCAGTCTCTGTCTGGGTGTGCAAATGTGCAGTCTCTGTCTGGGTGTGCAAATGTGCAGTCTCTGTTTGGGTGTGCAAATATGCAGTCTCTGTCTGGGTGTGCAAATGTGCAGTCTCTGTCTGGGTGTGCAAATGTGGTTCTGAAAATGGTGATATGGGGGTCTTTCTTTTTAATTATTCAATTTTTTATTTTTTTTCGTTATGTAGGGCAAAAAAGGAAGGGATTAAGGGAAAAAAATGATATCAGTCTAGAGTTTAGATATTCACAGCACGGTACTTACATCAGTCCTAGAGTTAAGACATTCACAGCACGGTACTTACATCAGTCTAGAGTTAAGACATTCACAGCACGGTACTTACATCAGTCCTAGAGTTAAGACATTCACAGCACGGTACTTACATCAGTCTAGAGTTAAGACATTCACAGCACGGTACTTACATCAGTCTAGAGTTAAGACATTCACAGCACGGTACTTACATCAGTCTAGAGTTAAGACATTCACAGCACGGAACTTACATCAGTCTAGAGTTAAGACATTCACAGCACGGTACTTACATCAGTCTAGAGTTAAGACATTCACAGCACGGTACTTACCCCCAA